AAAAATGAAGAGGAAAATGTATTTAATTAGTAATAATATCAGCAAAGTGATTTTAGACTATACATAATTCCAGCACCAAAAAGTTGTATTTTAGTGAAAAAATAGCACACCTTTTATGCTTTTTGAATACCAACCTATTTTTCCTATTTTTTTTTTTTTGTTTGTAATTTTCAACATTGAATAGTAAGTAAAACCAACCTGTCAGTTCAAGTGCTAGCCAAGCACATTTGCTTTGTAAATAAAAAGGCAGGAAATTTTTTCGTTTTGTTTAATCCATTATACTATGACCACACGTATACATATGCACATTTATCGAAGAAATATGCAGTTGTATGCACGCGGCATTTTTTATATTTTTTACTTTGTTTTATTTTTTATTTAAAGTCGTCATTATGCTTGCTTGCTCTAGACTTGGGCGTCTAGTCTAATAAACTTCGATAGCACGAAATATGTCAAGCTTGCTTGCTGTTTTGCTTATTAACTTTTTCAAATTTTCGATTTTCTTATTAACTTCATTTTACTTGAGTGTTGTATGTATGTTTAATATGAGCCTATCATCGGATTCATGTATGGATTATATATAATGTCTGATGCTTTTCTGCTCTATGTATATATAATTACTATTACTGTTACATAGGTGTGTAAATGGTTTTGTTAAGATTCGCAAGGTACCCACATCTGCATGTATTTGGTACTTGTTTATATATTTTTTTTTCTATTTCATTTTCATTGTTTATAATGCAGCTGACTTGCTAATATTTAATTCACTTCACATTCTGTTTACTTTTCATGAATACTTGCGTGTTTGATTACGTTTACATTTTCTTATTTATCCTATAGCTTTTCAATTTTTGCATATTTTCTTTTATATGTATGTAGGTTAGACCACGTCAAAAAAAAATAAAAATAAAAAATGCTGCAATGCGGCCGGAATAAGACTCACATTTTAGCATTTGGTTTAGTAATGATCCTCCATAAATCTCCCCTCTCTACGACCACTCTAAGAGGTCCCGCGTCGAGCCTTTAGTTTTCCTTTTGAGGTCAATGTTATTTTCTAGGATCAATGAAAATGCTCGAAACTGAAAGAATAATCAATGTATTACATTATCGTTTAAGTATTATGCATGCTAAGATTCCTTAAATTCCAAAAAAAATTGGTATATACTACATTTGACCCAAATCGGACAAGGGATTAAAAAGGGATAATTTAGGAATTTAAATAATCTGAGCCTGCATAATACTTAAATGGCATATAATCAATGTACTCTTACAGTTTCGAGTGATTTCATTGATCCCAGATAATTATATTGACCTCAAAAGGAAGGGACTAAATTTTCTTACGTGAAATTCCGATTGGGAAACTAAAGGCTCGGCGCGCGACCTCTTAGAATCGTCCTGGAGCGGGGATCATTACTATACCAAATGCTAAAATTTTAGTCTTATTCTGGTCGCATTGCAGGACTTTTGTTTTTTTTTGACATGGTCTAATGTAGGTATATGTATATGTATATCTTTAATTGGTTTTACAGAAAATTATTTCCTTTATTAAGATAATAAACGAAGCTACAAGCTGCATTTTAAGACCAACGAAATTAATTTTAAGAGTTAAAACTTTGTAAATACACAGCATTCTAACAAAAAGATATCTTTTAAAACAAGCGGTTTAAATAAAATATTTAAAACTTTTCTTTTCCAAACATCAAGAACAAAAAATTACCTAAAATGTTTCTTACAGCTCATTAACAACTACAAATAAACCAGTGAATTTAACCAGTTGGCCAAATAATGCGGGCGCTTCTAAATCTGGAGTAAAGTTAAATAAAAAAATCAGTAAGAAATCGAACGTCGAAAAGGTCAGAAGGCCAAGAAGGCTTTTTCTTTTCGAATTTTGCCGACTGATGTGAAACCAGCATAAGCACATTCATTCTTAATGGCCTTGGGCCGAAGTTTTGTGAAGAAAAGGGGCCACAAAAGATCTAAGATCGCAGTGCACACCGCATATCAATATCTGTCTATTTACCGAGCACGGAAAGCGTATCTCTTCAAAAGTTCAAATAAGTATTTATGCTACTAAAAGGCCTCTCTCTTTCTAACTTTGCCGACTGTGTACCAAAAAGATTTTTTCTATTAGAAGATGGATTAGAAGACCCGAAACTTTTGTTATTCCGTAAAAAACAAAAAAAAAAGTAAAGAATCGTCCACGAAACATAGGCCTGATGTGGCATCAGAACGTTCATTCATTCATTGTCCCCTAAAAGGCCTTTTTAACTTCTTTAGGGCCTTGGGCCTAACAGAGGTGTTAGAGGTTTCTATCTATCGAGCACGGAAAGTCAGTCTATCCCTTCACGAATTTTGCCAACTGGATACAGAAAAGGTTTTCTTTCGGTAGTAATTGTAGTTGCAAATTACCGCTTCAAAATTTTTATTCTATTTTTTTTTTCTTTTTTCTTACAGTTTTAACCAGCAACGGCTAGAAAGAAGGATCTCAAATTTTTGTCGTGTACAAAAAAATATATTTCATGCTTAAAAAACAACAAAACAAACAAATTTCGTTAGCCCCAAAATGCAACTGCATTTTTTTTTTTATGATTTTCTTGAAGGTTAAGTCATAGTTTTTTTGTCCTTTACACATTTTCTGGGCGTGTAATTTTCTTAAGCATTATTATTTCATTCATATAATTCCATTTTCACTTTTTGTTTACGTTTTTTTTCTGCAATTGAATGGTATCTAAAATTGAGAGCTACTTAAAAATTATATGAAAAAATTGCGTAATTTTTCATTTTCACATATTTAACTTGAAGGACGTTGGTCCTACAATTAGCTGAATGCCTTACTCTTGAATTTGGAGGTTTCACTATTAATTGCTACGAAAACCTTTATACATAAAAAATATATGGAATATAATAGAATTTTATTTTTAGTCGCTATGTTTAATATATGCTTATGTTTAACATAGAAAATTAATAATAAAGGCGGCTTAAAGCGCACAGGGTACTTGTTTTTTGTGGTTTAAATAACACAGCTGCACACAAACCCGAAAAGAGTGTCTTGATCTGGGGACGCGACATATGCATGTATGTACTCCCTATATATTTTGAAGCGCTGAACACGGCACCGCTTCAGGATTGGCGCGACATTTATTCATTCCAACTTAACCATAATTTTTTCGCATGTTTCTTGGATTTTCAGACGTTTTTTGATTTTAAATTTGAACCAAGACCCGTTCCGTTGCGCCAATTTGGATAGCGGATTCGGATTGAGTGAGCTCAAAAACAAAATAATGCTTGTGTTGTGTGCCCTGATTAGGCCACTCCTTTAGTTTTGTGTGTCTGTGTAACTTTTGTTCAGTTTTTTTCTAATTATCCGTTTTCGGTCTAAAATACTTTGCTCTTCATATTGAAATTTCCTATATATAGTTACTATCAATTATAGTTAAATTTTGTTTAGTTTTTTTATTTGATTTTATTTAAATCAATTTAATCGTCGAACGTTTTACAATGTATTCGGTTAGACAAAAGTTACAACAATTCTTTGGAATTTCTGTATCATTTTTGATTATTTTTAGTTAGGGTTTATGGAATTTTGGGATTTTAGATGCCTGGTAGTTTTGTATTCGGTTAACTTTTTGTAATTTCTTCGGTTCTGTTGTTCTGTTCTTCATTCAACAATTACTCGAAAAAATGCCAATTTTGTTATTGTGGATAGAAAGCTGTGTGCGTATGAATGACTTGGTTAATTTACTTCTCAAATAAATAAAATAATAATAATAATAATGCCGATCACAGAATTAAAAAAAAAAAAACAATTAGTTTAATGCGATGAGCATAGTTCTTCAGTTCGAAAGTTTCCTTAAAAAAAAAAATGTATGAACAGAAAACTACTTAAAATTACTATGAAATTTGTTGCACCACCCTCGAATGCAATATGCAATTTTCTATGTACATACATGTGAAATGGATATATATAGTGAATTTTTTGTAATAGTAGTATTTCCTAACGGTAAAAGTACCAAGAAAAAAGACGAAAATGCATTAAACGAAGCATACAACCAGCTAGCTTTATATGTATGTAGCCAAGGCTGAAAGTGGCAATGGAATGGCTGAATATATGTACGTAGGCGTCGTCAAGCCCCGTGGAAAGTGTAAAGTGGAAAGGTTAATGGCAAGGCAAGACAATGTGGATCGCGTGTGTATGATAAATAAATGATGTGCGTGTGAATGTGTAAATATGTTAATTTCTACGATGCCTGCTTAAGCATTTACATATGTATATACAAAAAAAAATTAATGGTAGGAATTATTAATTAGGGGATCGACAGCATATGGATATGGCGCAAGAAATTCCTTAACTGAAATAGTTTCAGTTTAGTGCTCGCTCGCGCCTGCGCAGTTATGAAAAGTCGAAAAGGTTTTTGCTCGGGGCATCTATGTACATATACATGTGCGAATGTCCCGCTTTTTTGCATAATTACAGATATTGCAGTTGCAAGATATTTCATTTTTCTTTTCGCTTTCCATTTTTCTTTAGAGATTCCAGTGTAGGTTTTCATTTGTAAAACTAATTTAATTCATTTACAATATATAATATAATTGTACTACATACAAAAATCTATGTATACGTGTTAGTTAGCGTCATGTATCATCGTAAGGGACGAACGATTGGTTTTTCAACTTTTATGATTTTCCGAAATTAGGATAAAAGAAATAAATGATATGAGAAGCCAAAAGCAACTAATGGCGTATTAAATGTGTTTTTAGGTAAAAAAAAAAAAATCAATAAAAAATAGCAAACTAGTAAAATATTTACGTGTCGATTTTTAAAATCAGCTTTTTGAGACCAAATCATTGTGGGTTATTTTTTGTGTTTATCGAAAACTTTTTTTAAGAAGTTTTACGCTAAATGCCTTACTCACTAATATATACACACGCATACACACATACGCACACTAATGCGATAGTTAATTTTAAATTTGTCTTCTTTTTTATCTTTTGTTTTTAGTTATTAGTTTTGCTATTATTTTTGTTTTTTCCTTTGTTAGTAGTTCCCTTTCACGCAGCTAAAAATTATGCAATTTTCATATATACAGTGCTAAATCGGTTTGTGTTTTTCATTATTTTTGTATGGGGGTGAGAGGCCACGCTAGCGGCGGCAATTCATGGGCACAGCACTCAGTACGAAATTTCATTATAGTTCCTCTTCTCACTTTCACTTCTCTCCCTCTCACTGGAATAGTGGCTGGGCGTAATTTAGTTGTTTCTTAGCCATGCCGCCAACGCCAATTCCACCACCGCCACTACAGTACTGCTGCTAACTGTGCCTACGGCGCTAAAGCAGCTTTTCCATGTACGCATGTAAGTATTCATTAAGGCGCGCAGCACCGCTGCTACCTCTGCTAGAAGAGGATGAAACCGCCAGCGTCGCTGACACCTTTTTTGTTGTTGACGCTTTCGTCATACCCGCGTCTTTACTATCAGTCACACAGTCACTGGCCTGTACCGCTCGATACCACTTGTCGAAGGACTCTTTCGGAATGACTTCACTGTCGTAGATTAGATCGAATATGCTACAAATGAGCTGATTGGCAGTTGGCGTTTCATAAACCTTCTGCATGGCGTCGACAATGGCGTCGAGGCAGGCCACCTCATGCGTTTCGAGGCCGTCTAGGCAACGTCTCAGTAGCGGTATGCATTTGTGTCGAAAGAGTTCGGAGTCTAGTTCTCTACTACTTTTAACAGTTTGCGTCGGCGCCGTCGTCGTCGCCGGCATCACAGTTGCGTAATCACAGCAGAGAAATTTTGTAAGGCTGCGTATAAAATGCGTATTTATGTGCACATTCGTATTTATGTAGTCAATGGCTAGGTCGCAGCCATTGATCGTATTCAGCAAATACTCAATGCGCGTCACTTGTTCCGCTATGGCAGCGGGATACGTCGACGTTGACTTTTCTCTCTGTGGTGGCTTGTAGTTACGATCGTGTATGTACTGGAAGTGGTTTAAGTTGACAAATGCTTGCCATTGTGCGGCATCGCTAATGAATTGCTGTCCATGATCCAGTTTGAATTCCTTGTTCCATAGCTCACGCGTGTACGTTGTGCCAAATTCGCTGGTGAAGTAAGTGATGAGCGCATGGAGAAATCGTTTTGTGAATTTGCTATCGGCCGCCCATTGTGGCAGCCAAATGTCGTCGAAATGCAAAAGTTGCTCATGCAGCAGCGGTCCTATAAATTCAAATACATACGTCCACAGATTCGGTACGTCAATTAGCAGTTCGCGCAGCTCGTCGGCCAATTCCGTGTACACTTCCGTAAATATTTGTGGCCCACACATTTTGGTACGCATCAGGTGCACGAATATAGCCGCGCAGGCTTTGCGATGCGCGCGCTTCACTGTCTGCAAGTATAGGTAGTCGCTAAGTAGGTAGTTGAGCAATGACTTTTGTTGGCGCGTATTGAGACTATTCCACTCGTTGACTGTCTCCTGTTGCCAGCCGTTGCTGCTGTGACTGCTGACAGCGGCGAGCAGCTCTTCGATCAGCTGATTAAGCAGTTTTTGACATTCTTTCTTGCTAAAATCTGGCAAGTCAGCGTGTTCCATTGAAAACTGTGTACCTTTTTGCTGCTCTTGTGGCGAGGACGCATCCATCGGCAAGTCATTTGATTTTTCTTGCCTATCGAGCGCTTGAAAAGGATTGTTGGCCATGGCCGACACTGTAGACATGCCTGTTGTGGCGCCAATCATAGAGGACTGTCGCTTAAATCCGCCGCTGTTTGCCGCAGTGTTCGCGCCGCTGGTGTTCATTTTTAAAGAACTAGCTGGCTGATTGGTGCGCCAGAGGTAGAGTCCGGGGCTGCCGAGTTTTGTTGTGCTTTGCGTTACCTCGTCCCTAGCAAAATTCAGTTTGTTGACGTCAATATTAACATTTTGTTGTTCATGTGGATGCATGAACTGCTGTGACTTATGCGATTTCGTATAATGGTGCCGTTGATTACCCTGATTGCCGCCGCCACCGACGCTGCCCCCACCTCCGCCATAGTTGCCCAGCCGATTGTTCTTCTCGTACATGCTGCTGCCGACTCCTGCCTGTATTTTGTCATCCTGCTTCGCACTAATCGCTGAGCGTCGCTGGGATGATTGCTGTAGCTGCTGCTGAGGCAGCATTTGTTGCTGGTGCTGCTGTTGTGGCTGAGCCTGCGGATGATCCCAGGTGCGCGCACGCAAGTCCATAACATCCTGCATCATGAAACGCACACGGCTGCTGATCTTGAAGTGGCCGCCTGATTTATTGCTGCGCGATTTGTGTATAATTTCATGTATTCTACGAAAGATTTTATCCATTCGAGCATTGCTTGTGTGCTCCGGAGATTCCAATAGATGCCCGACTGTGGTCAGTAGTTTGCACATGTACTCCAGCTTCTCCTCGGAGCCATGCTCCAGTAGGGATTCGATGCACAAGAATACACGGTCGTTGGTTAACGATTGTAGTTTAAACATTTCACCAATGAAGCGAACCGTGCCCCAAGCACGACGTCGAAACTGATATTCTTGGTCTTCCAGTTCGGCCTGCAGTTCCAGCCGCTCTTTGGAGTCGACGCAACTCTCCAACTTATCGACCAGCGGTTGCAGCTTCAATTTCTTCGCATTTGCATCGTTTACATTTGTCTCGAACTCAGTCTGAATGCGGTTGATTAGCGAACTAGAGAAAAGTGATTTGCTCTCCGCTTTGATTTCTTGGAAAAGCACTTTGCAAAACTTGGCGTATGTAGGGGCGAAATTCGGTTCGCTCACGGTTTTTTCGAAAATCAATAGCATCACCTGTGAAGCACGAAAGTGTGATGAATATTATTTGCATGTCTATAGATATCGATGATCCTGTGCAATAACACAATTCACAATTTAAAAAAAAAAAAACCGTTACTACTGTTAAGTGGCTCATGTCTCTCTAATCCTTGTCGAATCTTTAGTATTTACTTTAGCAATCCTTACTGCTTACTTTAGTAAAAGACGTAAAACGATTAGACAAGGATTAGAGACAAGAGCCACNTTATTTGCATGTCTATAGATATCGATGATCCTGTGCAATAACACAATTCATAATTAAAAAAAAAAAACGTTACTACTGTTAAGTGGCTCATGTCTCTAATCCTTGTCGAATTTTTAGTATTTACTTAAGCAATCCTTACTGCTTACTTTAGTAAAGGACGTAAATCGATTAGACAAGGATTAGAGACAAGAGCCAGNCTCTAATCCTTGTCGAATCTTTAGTATTTACTTTAGCAATCCTTACTGCTTACTTTAGTAAAAGACGTAAAACGATTAGACAAGGATTAGAGACAAGAGCCACTGAACAGTAACAACAGTTTTTGTTTTTTGAATTTTGAATTGTGTCGTTATGGCACACGACCATCTATATGTATTTAAGGAAAAAGATGGGCTGACTTATTATTCGATTGAAATCTAAGCTGAGTTGTAATTATGCGAAAAATTAAGCTGAACATTTACATTATAATGACGACGGGACGAGAAAAATAGAAATTAAAAAGATGTATATGTTTCAATTTCAAAATTTCAGCTGTTAAAACAGAATTTAATATATACAAAAATTTCGATATTAACTCGCAATCTTCAACTCGAATATTAAGTGAGCTGTTTTCATAAACCTACTTCGCACACTATGACAAACCAGAAATGTTTCAGCTCAAGGGGCAGTACTCAAATCTGAATTTTCAAAGTGTTTGCAAAGCAATGCCACATCGGNAGAAAAATAGAAATTAAAAAGATGTATATGTTTCAATTTCAAAATTTCAGTTGTTAAATATATACAAAAATTTCGATATTAACTCGCAATCTTCAACTCGAATATTAAGTGAGCTGTTTTCATAAACCTACTTCGCACACTTTGACAAGCCAGAAATGTTTCAGCTCAAGGGGCAGTACTCAAATCTGAATTTTCAAAGTGTTTGCAAAGCAATGCCACATCGATCATATCAATATGCCTACTTGTTGCATTTTCTCCTGTGTATTCATCGAGATGCTGGTCATCGACTTGAGTAATACATCGAAGTTGTCAGGTGTCAACTTGTTCAGTACGCCGCGCACTCTCTTCAACACAGCGTCGATGTCATCGTTGGCGCCCGAAGGCGAAACATTATTCGATTTGCTGCGTAATGTTTCCGGCTGCCAAGCATTCTCACACTCCGACAGCTTTATCTCCTCCTTCAGCGACAACTGCACACGTATAAAGTCGACTTTCCGTTGTTGCTGCGCGCTCATCACGCCAGCGGCACCGCCGATTCCGCCCTGGCCCACTGCGCCGGCTGCAGCCGCAACACTTAGTACGCCACTCACAGCACCACCTCCGCCAGCCTGATGCTCGTGATGTTTCTTCGTTTGTGCGCTGCGTCCACGCTTGCCGCTCACCAATTCCATTGACTCATTGAAATTCATGTGTTGGTATTGTTGCTGCTGCAGATGCTGATGTAGTGCCAGTGAGGACATGTTGTGCGCGTGATGCGTCAGGTGATGATGCTGCTGACGCGAAACGAATAGCTGTGAAATGCAGTCACCGCGCTGACACGATACCATGGGCGGCTTGCGCGCCTCGCTGGATTTCGAAAGCGCCTTTAGCTCATCCAGCGAGTATTTGCGCGGTTTTGGCGGCCCCACAGCACTGTCGGGAGAGGCTGCAGTAGTAGCTGCACTATTGGCAGTGCTTACAGTAGCAGTTTTTTGACCATCACGGATGCTGGACGCGCTACTGGTTTTGGTAAGCGTTGCCGTGCTGACATTCTGGGTGCAATCTACAGTGTCTTTCGTCGTGGCGCTTTTATTTTTATTAATTTCCTTGTGGGGTGAATTGGACTTTGTAGATTGTCGCCTTTGTAGTGGTTGTTGCTGCTGTTGTTGTGGTAGCACCGGGGTCGGGGTCGACGACGATGACGACGCCGTGCCTTGACAATCTTTGACCTCAGCGAAATCGCCAAATTTAACATCTTGCATACTGCTTGCGGCCTCAGCAGCATCTTGTTGCATCCGCATTTGTAATCGAGCGCACATTTCTTCCTCATCTTCACAAGCGGACGAAGAACTGTTTAGAAATTGCAATTGCTGTTCTGACGATGATTGCAAGAATTGTGCAACGATTTCCTGAGTCTTCAGGTGCTTTGTTGGCTGCGACAGTAGTTGCTGCAGTTGCGGCGAAGTGTGCAAGTGTGAAGTGCGATCGGTCGCTTGATGAATGTCCGTGAGGAAATCACCTTAGAAATGGCATTAAAAAAGGACAATTTATACATATGTATATGCAAAAGAAGAAAACAAGGGCAAAGGAATAAGAAAGTAAACTAATCTAAAATCGACATTAAATAAACAGACCGACAGTATTAAAGACCGCCGCGTGCCAAATTATAGTCGGCTATCTCTCAAATTGAGGAATTAGTTTGCGTTCCAACAGACAGACAGATGGACATGTCCAAATCGATTCAGCTCAAAATCGTAATAACTTTGGCATAACATTTTATGGGTTTATCTCTTCTTTTTATTGTACTTCCAAACATCGAATCAAAGTCATAATACCACTTTATTTTCATGAAAGGTTTAAAAATCTATCTCAACTCCCTAGTCGTTTTTCGAGAGAATTGCTAAAGATTTATATCTGGCCAGGGACAGTCACTCCTCAAGAACTCTTTGATGAATTTGTATGCTGTTACAAAAATGACATGATAAGCCAGATGTGAAGTAATTTTTATAGACATAAATAGAGAGAGATATATGTATATGCGGGTGTCCATAAATTACTGAGGTTTGTGCGCAATTTCAACCTTTCCGTCGTGGTGCGATCTCGATTTATATCAGACTTTCACTCGACACGAAAATGGGCAATGCTAATGTTGTCGAGTCGTGAAATTATGTCTAATTTACGACTTACGCAATAAGGCCGACTGTAAATCCTCCGTAAAGCCAAACAGCAATGAAGACAATATGAAAACATAAGTTTACTCATTGTCACTTCAAGCCTACGACTCTACGAAAAGTTATCTTTATTTATTTTGTTCACCTACTTTTTGTGTTCGTTTTCGTCGTCAAGCCGCCTGTCAAGCTCCCACTTTTTGTCACGCTGCCGCTACGTTGTTGCAATGCTGATTGATGTGGATGTTGCTGTTGCTGTTGCTGTTGTTGCTGCTGCTGTTGTTGTTGTTGTCTTAAATTCGCTGTTGAAGTTGTTGTCGTTTCTCTTAAAATACCACTATCGTTAGAACTATTTGCATTATTTATATCAGTCAGGATGTTGCTTGATGTTGCCGTTGTAGTTGTAGTTGTA